GCATATGATTTCCTAATTAGGCTTGGGCTAATGAATCCTAAAGGAAGGTTCACTTCCGTACATGATCAAGTAATGCTTTGCAAAAAGTATTGGCGGGGAAGTAAACATATTAGAGCTTTCCATATGAATGATACTACTATATTGCGTTTATCAAATTATATTTTAGTTTGAATTCAACCTTTAAATTAAACGAGCGCAAAGCAGACTTTTGTCCTTTTCTTTAGATAAACGTTTGTCATTTTGTGTTAGAAGATAAAACTTCTGCTGGGATTGCTAGCTATTGTTTGTTCTGCAAATTGGAAGCTTTCGTCAACTAAATATTTTGCTGGGTTATTGACACATTCTATCGTGACTTTGTTTAAATATTTGTTTTCTATACTACTGGTAGGCTCACACGGTACTGGAGATGAACTATACAGAGCAGCAACTGACTGTAGCTGTTGTTTCTGATGGATTAAGGCCAGTCCTTGCTGCTCAGGAGTCAGGCGTACCTTCAAGATTATTAGCATTAATACAGAAATGCTGGGATGCACAACCTGAAAATAGACCTTCCTTTGATGATATAGTTAAGGAGCTTGATTCTATCATTGAGCACAGAAGGGACGTTGAGGATAGACAGTTCAGACCCTGTAAGTTGCATGATAGTCATGTTGTAGACGAGACCGCTACTCTCCTACAGGCTTATCAAGAGAATATCAACTGGTTCAGTCTGGGAGAACTTTTCTCAAAGAGATCCTCCAGCGAAACTTATCCTAATTTGAGAACCTGGCATGGGCCTTTTGATGAGCCTTTGGCTTACTGTCCAACACTTTCTTGGGGATCTTATGCTACCTGTGGGAGAAGGGAGACCATGGAGGACACGCATTTCATTCTTCCCAGCATGTGCAATGAAAAGGATATACATGCTTTTGGTATCTTTGATGGTCATAGAGGTACTTGCAGGTGTTTTAGTATTAGTATCCACGTTCTTTAAGAATATTATTACTGCAAGAACATCTAAGCCCATTCACTTTGATTATTATGATACTCCCTGAACACTTTGCTTCAGCATCCTTATTGAAGTATACTTGATAACTGAAGCATGAAAGTACCATGGAAAATTAAGAAAATACCTTAAAGTTGGAAAAATATAACAACAACATCATGTTTTCAAGTTATATGTACAGGTGTACCTACATCCTAATGATATGAGCACACATCTAGTTGATCTTAAAAAATAAGTGGAAAATGAGACAACTCTTTTTCTCCTTGTGAACTGTGATAAACTCGACGATCATTCTTGGTATGTTTAAAGCAATACAGTGAAATATTTATCATCGGCACCCATGCAGGTGCAGCGGCTGCTGAGTTTTCTGCTCGAGCCATGCCAGGATTCCTGCAAGCTTTAGGATCTCTGGGAGGGTAAGTTTCACATGAGGTTCTCCCCCTTCCATTTTTTTCTTCCTAGTATGTTCTTGTATATTGAGAGATAGATTGCCTTAGTATGCTCAAATATGCAGTCCAGCTACCACACTAGTTGAGGCATTCCTTAGAACGGATGTTGCCTTCAGACAAGAGCTTGATTCCTCTCGCAAATCCAGAAGAGTTACCCAGAAGGATTGGCATCCTGGTTGTACGGCGCTTGCTGCTCTTGTAGTCAGGAACAAGCTTTTTGTTGCTAACTGTGGTGATTGCAGGGCAATCTTATGCCGGGCTGGTTCTCCTATTGCTCTAAGCAAGGTGAGCTGGAAAGTTACTCTATTCTGTTAGGTGGTATATATTACTAAAGTTTCCTCTAATCAGATCTTATCTGATTAGGATCATGTTGCAAGCTGTCCTGAAGAGAGAGAGCGTGTTATTAGAGATGGAGGGCAAGTCCACTGGCAAGTTGATACCTGGAGGGTTGGCCTTCCTGCACTTCAGGCATGTTGTTCAAACTTCAACGACAGCTATCGTGAATCATGTATTCTGTAATACGGGGATAAACTGGTTTCTTACACTCTCATGCTTTCGGATGAATATTATATTTATACCCTAATTGATCGCATGCAAGTGAAATTAACTCTATTGTTCACAGGTTACTCGTTCAATGGGGGATGATGATCTGAAGCCGGCTGTAACTGCAGAACCTGAGATAAGTGAAACTACTTTATCTGCAGACGATGAATACCTGGTAAGGAGTGTTATGATGGGGAAGATTGAATGTTATGTTTCTTTCAAGTGTGATATGAGCGCGCAGTGAAAAGCTATTGATAAAATTTTGATCAGGTGATGGCGAGCGATGGACTTTGGGATGTGATGAGCAATAAAGAAGTGATAAACATGATCAAAGATACAGTGAAAGAGCCTGGAATGTGCTCGAAGAGGTTGGCTACGGAAGCAGTGGAACGGGGCAGCAAAGATAACATTACAGTCATCGTGGTTTTCTTGCGCCCCGTCTCTACAGCAGAGAGAATTTATTAGAGCACCTCCACTGTCTTTACTATATGGTGCTTTACGTACTCATGTTTTGCAACCGTCCCTTTCATGTACGTGTGTGAGGGAGAGAGATATATTCATCCAACGTAGTAGTAGACTAGTAGACATACTTTAGAGAGGAAGTGAGAAAGATTGTTGTGGGGAAAAAAAAAAAAAGAATCATGTCATTACTTGGCCTAAAGAAATTACTTTTTCTTAACCTCACTATTGAATCAATAATTAATTGTTTACATTCTTTAGTTTGACCTTCACTCTCCATCCTAAATTAATAAATCGAAATGAAAATTTAATTAATAAAGTTCATATAAGAATCCAGACGTTATTTTCTGTATACAGTCAAATGTTAAATATTAATGGCCAAGTAACGCTATTTACTGAAGAATTGAGCTAAAATATATACAGTAAAGTTTATTGGCCAAAAAAGAAAATACAATACAGTATCTATTTCTTTTTTGAGCAAAAGAGATATTTAAATTCTTAAATATTGTTTAGATTTCTAGATAATTAGTCTTATAGTTATTGGTTGTGAGGATATTTAAAAAAAAAAAACAAGAGAGATGTTTCGTTAATCAGTAACTGTACAGGTGTACTACAAAATAGACAAGTAAACAACTTTACGTGAAGAAATCAGACCTTTGAAGGGAGGAAATGTTTCAAGAGTATCATCAACTATAAAATAGGAATAATCATCAAAAGTGTCACCAGTGAAAATGCAATGATTTTGAGCACTATTATCAAAACCAGAGTGTTGAATTAGAAACGATTATAAGTTTAATTAAATTACACTAAAAAATAGCTTATCCTTTGAACCATCTATTGAACCGGTTGCTAACTGCAAAACTGATTGTACTAGACTTGTTATTTTTTTATTTTTAATTCATATTTTTACAATATAATTTATGCATATTTATATCTAATAAGCATTATGAAATGAAAAAAAAATGCAAGAAATATGTATGAGTTATGTATATATGTATATATTTTAAAGTTATAAATTATAAATTATGATATAATTATATATATATATATTTGAATGAAAATAATGTCATATTAATGGATATTATTCTTTTTATTGTATATTATCTTGTTTGAAATTTAAATATTCACTTTTCTTACTATATATGATTATTTATTTCTACTTTAAACATGTAATATTTAAAATATATTAATTTATTTATAATTAAATCTCAGTTTAAATCATAATCTAATCATTGAATTGCAAACCAATACCTTAATTAATTTAATGATTAATCCGGCTTTCATAACATATTTTGGAGACTCTGGGATCCCACAATATCGATTTCTTTTAATATAAGAAATCAGATCAGCATTAATATTACGCCAAAAAAACACGTAAAATATCTCGGTAAAAGATGTTCTACAATGCAAAGGAATTGAAGATATTTTTCTTTTCTCAACACTAGGGCTATGAATCTCTTTAAAACCCTAAATCAGTTTATTATTCAGTAAGGATATCTCAGTCTTCACATCGGATCGAAACAAAAATAATAACACCAGGAAGCTGTTAATCAGAGAGCAGGCTGTAGATCACAAATATTCTACCCTCGACGACTTGAAGGATCATCATAGTAACTAGTAAGATCCTTCAAAACCTGCAACAGCGCTGCTAGCATCTCCAAGGACAGTGAGGATCGGAAAGCTTTCATTGCATGTTTTGTAGTAAGGTGTTCTCAAATTCGCAGCCTTCGGTGGCCATTAAAATGCTCACAGGGTCGAAAAGGGCAGGCCAAGTGTTATACATTTCCTTCAAGGTTTAATTCTTGGACTAGACTAAATGTGTGTGCGTGTAACTGCAGTCAACTTCGTCTTTTTCTTGCAAGCTTGATTTCTTTCCCAGGAGTCTTTTGATTTTTTTTTTTTCCTTTAGCAATTACGACTGGAACGTAAAAGAATAGTGATTGTATTCTTTTGAAGTTCACTGGCTTTATCATATGTTCAAGTGTGGGAGAAAAGCATACAGATGATCGAGTCCAACACACTTGTGTGTCTGAGGTCACGTTTGGAAAAACAATTAAATAAATAAGTAATTATTTATTCCAAACTAAATTTTAAAATATTAATAAAAAATGATATTCGATCCAACGTTGAAACGACAGTTAGTGATTTTATTAACATCACGCATAGTTCATGTCTGCATCAATTGAGAAATACATCCCCTGTAATTGCATCAGACTATAAGGAAACGTATTGATACACCCCTAAAAGAAACAAAGTAAATATACATCAACAAAAATTCTGGGGTGCATATGTAATGTGTAGACAACATTATCTACATATTGTGAAGTGTTCCCCGTGCATTTTCCTTACCTCAAAGACCACGTACGCGGACAACTCTATTAAGCACCTTACTATGTAAAGCATAAATGCGTTCCACTTAGTCCAACCTAGTTATGCATTTCCTTCCATGGAAAGATGCAGTGCTGATCGGCCTCATAATAAATCCCCCTTCTTCTTCTTCTTCTTCTTCATAATCCACACAAGTGCCTTCACTTTCTCTTCTGAGAAATTAATTAACCACAGTCATGTCAGATAGACTATCCCTGGGCGATGCTGAGCAGAAAAACCTTAAGCGTAAGATGACTGAGGAGTCAATATCAGAACGACCTTCCATGGACGACGATGAGTCTGCAGAGGAGCTTCTGACTCTGAAGCTGATGGTGGGTTCATCGTCTGGACCAACTGGTGAGGCCTCTAACAACGACGAGACAACAACGAGAGTGGAGGGCAGTGATAATGATCTGCAGCGAAAATTCTCTTGCAAGTTCTGCAACAAGAAGTTCCATAACTCTCAAGCTCTGGGTGGACACCAAAATGCTCACAGACGCGAACGTGTACTCAACAAAATTGACAAAGAGTTTGAGGTGGGCACTTTTGGACGCTTTGGTCCTCACTTTTGCCCTTATTCAACCATGGCTGGTCTTCCTTTTACAGGGTCACCTTTTTATCCAGGGCTTCATCATCACATGAACCCACTGGCGGCTCGTTACGGCTTGCAAGGGCCAGCCAACTCGGCCCCGGAGGCGTTCCGGTTCGGCACGAGAAGCTCCTGGGCTGAAGAAGGAGCGGTTCAGCGCAGAGCGAATCGGAGAAACAATGTTCGGAGTACTTCACCTGCAAGTACAAGGCCAGGTGATCAATCAGCAGTAACTGGTGCGAGTGGCGAAGGCTTCCAGAGAAACTCATATACAGGAAGCATTCATGGTGAACCATCAAGCCTCGACTTGACTCTCAGTCTGTAACAAGTCAAGTTTATTAATTAGAACTTATCCACAGAGTTGGGTTACTCTAGTTAATTGGCTAGCAGCAATGAAATGCGTCCATATAGTGTACTGTGTTGTTTGGATCGTTTTGTCGTTTTAGATATACTTTGTTGTGCGGTTTTTGTTACATTGTTCACAGTTGGATTGCTATGCATAACATTAGTTATGCTTATGTTGGTGAAGATCTTGCGTGTGTGTCTAAATAATGTCATGCTTTCTAAGTTACCTTCACTTTTTTGGCATTACCTTATTAATTTTTGAGTTTCCAAATATATATACCATATGTTGATCAAAAACACACACAAATATATCATAGATATGCATTGGCTGATGTGGCAGACTTACGTATTGATGAAGTTGGTAGCTATCCTCGACTTCTACAAATTAATCCTTTTATACACAGTATCCAGTGTTACTATTCTAACAAACTTACATTTCTTAAAATTGTAATTTAACAATTAATTATTCCTTTCTAACTTTGTCCCCTGTGATCCTTATTCATAAAATTGTCCTCGTTGAAATACTAATTTACTGGAGCGCCAGGATCAGCACTCCACTTGTTCACAGACAGGCAAATATTTACGTGAATGTTGTTATCCACATGACAATCATTTTTTTAAATATCTCTATTTTTCTTTTTTTCGGCAGAGGCTTCGTATTAATGTAGCCAAACAATTGAATTGGCTGGAAACCAGTCAAAGGTTGAGTTTGACAGAGTATCGGTCAGGTTTATAGAATGAAGGACATATTAATATGTGCATACATTTGGATCATTAATTAATTTATTATAGACGTTTGACATATACAAGACTCTGTTTCGAATGAGAAGCACCATGCGTAATGCATGAGAAGTGGAAAGCCTTAAAATGAAGTGTTGTGACTTGAAAGTAAGAATTGAGCATTCAATATTTGGAAATAAAATTCTTAAAACAATATATATATATATATATATATACACTCTAAGAAAGAACTATGCTTCTAAATCCCATATGCATTCAATTTTAAATCAATATTTCACCGGAAAAATTGTAAATCGATAATATAAAAGTGATATATATATTTATGGTTCTAAACTTATAGCAAATTCTTTTAAAGAAAAAAAAAAGAAAAATTGATCTACAGTTAAATTGTAAAATGTGATCTGGAGAAAATTGAAACATGGGTCAACAACTAGCAAACACTTGTGACGAATAATTGGTAAGAATTACTGCGCACAAGTTGAGAACTTGAGATTGCTATTTCATTAGGATGATAAAATAAAAAGGATCAAAACCTCTAAAGTTGAAATTGGCAAACTTGGATGAAATTTTTTTAGTATTTTTTATTTACTTTCGCATTTTTATGAAATACATATAAAATATTTTCTCTTTTTTTTAAAGGAAAAAACTTCACATAATTAAATTTACAATTATCAAATTCATGAGATTTAAATTTTTCATTAACTAACGGTTGAAGTTAATTTTTATTAATGGCAAGGTCAAATTACACCATCTTTAAAAATTGAGTTTAAAGTCAATGGTGCTACTTGACATAAAATTTAAGAGATAATTTACTCATTTATTATATATATATATATATATATATAATTCATCTCTAACTATCTCACGAGATTAATCAATAAATAAAATATTATGTTTGAAAAGAAAATAAATTTCTCAATTTATTCCTATTAAACATATTATGTTTCTATTGCTCATGGAATACCATGAAAGGATATAAAATTAAAAAATAATTAATGATCGACTTTTTGATATAAAATAAGTTACAAACATCATTGTCAATTTATTCTAAAAAGTAGTTTATATATATTGGAGACTAATTCAAATCATTGAAAACAAAAATTCACGAGTGGTATATATTAATCATTTAAGCAAAGAATCAAGAAACCGTTTGTTTAAAATTAAAAAATATAAGATATTTTTAATCAAATATCACCCTCAATAAAATGGCCACTTGTCTTTAAATTAATAAAAAAATTTATATTTACCTCTATTTAATAGGATATTTTACTCTAAAATAAATATAAAGTAATGTAATTTATTTATTAGAGGCACTTTAAAAAAAAGGATAATATGATATCTTAAAACATAAAAATATCTAATATTTTTTAACATCCAATCTATCAAAAAATATTTTATATTTTTTAATGAAAAGAGTAAATAATTGTTATATAGTTGAAATTTTATAAAAAGAAATATATTTCGTGGAGATTTTATAAAAAATTAGTATTATTTTATATTTAGTTATAATAATAAGAATTGATTATTAGTTTAGTAATTTTAAATTTTATGAATTTTTCTTGATTTCTGTGTATAAAAATAATTTATTATTTAATTATTTTACAATTTTAAAATATTTTGGTGTATCCCGGTTTTTAAAATATTGTCTGCTATTATTATTTTCTGAAATATACTCAAGATAATTTTTTAAAATAATAAATTTTTTTAAAGTCTGATTGGCTTAAAAAATTTAAATAAAAATAATTAAAAAAATCACAAAATTTTTTTTAAATAATATAAATATTTTTTATTTAAAAAAAAAGGTTGAAACAAACGGGCCCACGGGTGACTCCGTGAGAAGTGAAAACGAATATGTGGGGTATAGAATTTGTCATTTCCAGGACAATGCCGTACATGCTTTAGTATTTTCGGAGTTATTGACCCGCGAACCCTTTAATTCAGGTTGATTTAATTTGATATATAAGGAAAAATGACAAAAATCACTTTAAATTATGCAAATGGTAACAAGATCTTATAAAATATCATAATTTATTTCAAGTATTTAAGGACATTTCTTATATCAATTATTTTCTGTGAAATAAATAAAATACCTCAAATTTAAACAAAAATAGAAATTGATTGTTTCGTTTTAATAATTACAGAAAAATTAATTATCGTTTGAGCTAAAATATATATGAATATTTGAAATACTTGAATTTTAATGAATAAAAAATTTACATACAAAAGGTTATAATTGTTTGTTTCATTTTAATTATTGCTATAAAAAAATAATTATTACTTAAATTAAAATAGTCATGGATATTAGCAAAACTTGTACTCTAGTGAGTCAAACATTTGTATAAGTGTAATTACTTATTCTATTTTTATTATTTTTAAAATAAAAGTAATCATTATTTAAATTAAAATAATTATGAATATTTACAATACTTGAATTTTAGTGAATCAAAAATTTATATAAAAAAGTTATAATTATTTATTCCATTCTAATAATTACTTGAAGAAGCATTTACTATTTATATTAAAGTAGTAACTACTGTTAATTTTTCTTGGGCCAGAGCTTTTTTTTTAACTTTAAAATAAAAATATTTTAGTCATTTCATCAAAAATATTAATATCAAAAAAGTCTGTCAATATTTGAAAAGAATTATAGCATTTTGAGAGTCTTATCATTCTTTGCATATTACAATTTAATTATTAAGTACTCCCTTTTAATCAAAATATACAGTATTGATAATTAATTTATGATTCTAAAAAATGTCAGATGGAACATTAATTTTTTTAAAAAATTACATCTTTTCAATTTTACTCTTATTAAATACCTTATGTAAGTATTTTGATAATAATAATTAACATTTCAATGCATAATTTAAAAAAAAGTAATAAATAAAGCAAGAATATACTCCTTTCGTTAAAAAATAAAAAATATATTTTTAAAGAGTTGAACATTAAAAAATTTAAGGTATTTTAGTGTTTTAAAGTGTAATTATTACTCAATGAGTAAATTAATTTATATTTATTTTAGAGTAAAATATTCTATTAAATAAGAGTAAATATAAAAGATGGTGATTATTTTATTAAAGATAAAATTTAATTAAAATATTTTATATTTTTTAATGAAAGACGTAGTTGAAAAAAACTACTATAAAAGTCACTTAATATGCTATATTTTAAACTTATCAAGTCTTTTAAAAAAGCTCTATATTGTGGGTCAAAAAAAGTAGCAATTAGAAGATTTCCTCAAAGTGCAACCATCAACAATTAAAAAAGAGAGAAAGAAATTAATACTTTCTCTATTTTAAATTATAAAATAATTCTAGATAAATTTTTGTAAAAAATTTAGAATGATATTGTAAGGTAATAATTAAGTATTTTAAAAATATTATTATTGTGTACTGTAAGTTGTGTTATAATTTGGAGGAAAAGAGCATAAGTACAACAGCCATCCACACGCGAGGCTCCCGTAAACCGTCACAGTTCACAGCATCAAACTCACTGTCAAGTGTCAACAAAATCGGACTCTCTTTCTCATTGGCCCAAAACAAAGTGGCACTTTCATTCCTGTTCTTTTGGGTCAAACCTTTCATCTTTTGCTCCACTAAATCTCTCCCATCTTGTCGTGCACAACGTCCTTAACCGCTGGTTCTCGTCGCAAATATTCTATTAAATATTAATGACTGTGGTTTGACTCAGAACTAGATAGCAGATACCTACACCAAGACTCAGTTCAGTATTTTTTGAAAAATAAAAGTTAACTCAAGAAATATTTATATAACTATATAATATATGTATATAATTAATTAAATAATCCTATTTATAAAGTGTTTTACGAAACAAAAAGTGATTCTAAATTTCTAATTATAAGATGCTAATTTTATCATTCAATTTAAGAAAGCAATTCTATAAATAACAAGTGACTCATTGTCTTTCTTTAATTAATAAGGGTATAATAATTAAAAAAAAGTTGTGATTCTTTTAATAAATCAAGCAACATAATAATTTTTTAAAAAATATGTACACAATGTTTTAAACACATCATAAACAATAATGAAGGCAGTATGACTTCATTTAAAATTCATACAAATACATACAGTTTTGGGCTTCATTACCAAAAAGAAAAAAGAAAAAATACATGCAGCTTCATATTAATTTCAAACGAGAAAAAAGACCGTTATCTTTCTTGTTCTCGCTGGTGGCTACAGTCGACAATCCAACTACAGCAATGACTTTTGATGAACTTAA